TCCCTCTCTGTCTCTGGCGAGTGCATGTGCCCTATGGCAAAAGCCTTCAAATAAATAAATAAATAAGCATATGCACACCATTTCTCGCTGAAGTGCCACATGCAGCAGTGAGAGAGAAACCAGCAGACCACCTGTGGCTAGGGACAACGCCGTGTAAATGGTGCAATAGCCATACGATGGAATATTACGCCACTGTTAAAATCATTTTTACAAATCCTTTTGAACTTGGAGAATTCTTGGAGGTATAAGTCTGAGTCAAGAAGCAAGACACAACATTTGAAAAGTTAAGGTTGAAAAAAAAAAAACAAAACACAGTCTTATTTGATCAATTCCAAGACACCGATTTTTTCCCCCATGTTTAAACCTTTCTGAAAGGATGCCTCTAACTCGTTCTGATAAGAAGCGGGGTGTCAGTGTAACTGCACGCTCCTAGTGGCACAAAAAGTAATGATGCACCCCCAGATGACAATGTCTTGGAAGGAACAACACAGTGTATGCAAAGACGACTCAAAGAAGAAACATGCCAAAACAGGAACGGTAATTATGTGAGGGTGTTTCTTTATTTCTCCATAGTTTTAAGAAATTTCTATAATGAGCTTTTATTACTTTTAGAATCAGAAAGGTAAAATAGAAAAAAAAAAAAAAGAAAAAAAATGTGTTAAAAATATCTCCTCAGTGGCTGTTCACTGCCTGACAGGGGACACAAACCCCTCGGTCCCGTACCCTCTGGCGCCTGCCTCTCTTCCCTTCCCAGCGTTCTCTCCCTCCCAGCTTTGTCTCGCACTGTCCACACACCAACACGCTGTCCCTGGGCCTCCAAACAAGCAGTCTCCCATGGCTCCATCTCTGTGAAAATGCTCTTCCCGTCTGAAACGTCCTCCTCCAGCCCCCTTCTGCCTGGTGAATGCCTTCTTCCTTTTATTTTCTTTTCTCCTTTTCTTTTCTTTCTCTTTTTCCCTTCTTTCTTTCAATTTTGTTTTATTTTATTTTATTTAGTTTCATATTTTTGCTAGTAAGAGAGAGACAGAAACAGTGAGAGGGAAAGTGAGAAATCACCTCCTGGGGGGATGGCCATCCTGAAGTCCCTCCTCCATTCTCCTCCTGGGATGTTGGGCGTGTACGCACACGCACCCGGCGTGATTTTCAAGCTGCCAGGCCCAGGACTTGAATCATGGTTGGCCGTGTGAGAGATCAGCGCCTTAACCACTGTGCAACCTGCTGGCCCCTTCCTATTTATTTTCCCAGGAACTATCTCCAACACCAAATCCTCAAAGACTCTGTTTCACACCCAGAAAGGAGCAGCACCCACCTCTGCATTTCCAACACACTTCTTGTCACTTCCCTGTCTGGCCCAAGATTTAGAGGAAAGGATCTATATTCCTGTCCCCACCATCTGGGGCCTCTGGGTCTCAATAAAAATCTAACTCTCCCTGGGGCCAGCAGGTGGCATGGAAGTTAAGGTGCTGGATCCCACACGGATGACTTTATGGTTCAAGTCCTGGACCCAGCAGCCTGAAAATCAAGCCAGTGTGCATGCCCAACATCCCAAGAGGAAGATGGAGAAGGAATGGTCATTCCCTCTGTGGGGTAGTTTCTCACTTTTTCTCTCTCTCTGTCTAAAGAGCACATCCCCTCACCCCATAGCAAAACTGAAAAAAAAAAAAAAAATCTAACTTGCTGTTCTCTGCCCACTGAAACTCTTTTTCCCGGTCACCACCACCAACCAGCTGATTTCGAGTCTGAACTAACATCTTTTAGTCCTATGTTCTCTGAGCTTCCTTCCTGAGGCATCTGATGGGCACAGCTTTCCCCATAGCCTGCTACTGCAGCAACAACTTTTCTAGAATGTTCTCCTCCACCTAACTTCTTCCTGACCATCATCAGTGAATCTTTTTCTGAGATAGCTGCTGAAATGCAGCATACCCAGCCTTCCTTCCTTGGCTTCAATAGCTCTTATTCGGAGCTCAGCAGGTCAGTGGACAGGGCCTCGAGTTCCTGAGCCTCCCAAATCTGTTTGCAAAATCCTACAATTATGGCTACATTTTCCGGGGAGACACCATAAAGCTCTTTGTCTCATAAAAGATCCTATAACTAAAAAAAAAGTTAAAAATGACTGCCCTACACAATCTCTGGTGACCTCATCTACTTTTGATTTTAAGATAAAATATCACTTGTATTTTTATCTCCCCTCGAAGAACTTCTAAAGATGGGCGCTGCTGCCTGCTGTGTGCGCGAGATATTTTTGCATGGGGAGGAGGCGTTTCTCTGAAGTTACAGCTCAGCCTGCTCTGCCTACACACAGTAGGAGGAAGGGGAGAAGCCTCAGAGATGCCCAAGAAGCACGTGCTGGTGTGTAGCAGGGAGGAGCAGAGCGGGAAGCTGCCCTGGAACCACCAGCCCGGAGCAGCGGGCAGCGAGGCAGGCCCCCGCTGCGTAACAAGCGGACTAACTTTGTTGTACATTTCCTCTAATCACTACGCTGAAGCCTGGCGGTTCGCGCTCGGCACCTCCAGTTACTGCTCAAACAGCAAGGTCATCCGCACTGCTTAGAGCATCTGAATAGAATTCCATCTCTAGGACCGGCAAGTCGGCCTCTTTCAACACTTCCCAATTTCCTCAAAAATAAAGAGAAAAATATTAATCTAGAGGGGGAGAAATAGCTGCGGTGGAAATTGTTTTCTTCTCAGAGTCTCCAGAGCTGTTTAACTCCTTGAAGATAGAAAATGGATTTCATGTCTAATTCCCCTGAGTTCCCCTTGGCTCCCCCTCGGCTCCCCTCACTCCATCACCTCTGCCCTCCTGGGGGCCCCTGCCCCTACCCTAGCCTCTGCGGAAAGCCATGGGAGGGTGGGCTTCAGGCTGGGCTGGGCTCTGGGCTGACTCCACTGGGGATCAGGGAGGACAAGCTGGGATCCTAAGGCCGGCATTGATGCTCCCTGCTCAGAGATGGGAAAAAAGACCCTTTTCTTCTGCTTGATATATTTAGTAACGACCTTAAAGAGTCTGCGAGGCTGGATGAATTGGTGCATCTCGCTGCATTGGAAGCAGCTGCCACAGCACAGACAGGAGGAGGGGGCGGCTAGGAGGAGGGGGAGACTGGAGGGGAAGAGGGGAAGGCAGGCGGCAGTGGAAGAAGGTGGGGAGAAAGGGAGCGGGAGCCGCGAGAAGAGAGGGCAGAGGGAGACCTGGAGACGGGGAGGAAGCCGGAGGGTGCGCCGGTGCAGGCAGAGACCGTTGGGGGCCCGCACAACCCCAGGCTGTCTCCAGCTGTCCGGCCTGGCATTGATCCTGGGGTGGCCGTGGAGGGTCAACCCAGGAGCGGTGGCGGTGGCCAGAACCTACCGTTAAATCTGGCTAAATGGCAGCACTTAAGGGCCCTGTGAAGGAATCCAATTTGCTCACAAGGATTGTCTACAAATTTATATGTCGGCATTTAACACAAAACGCTCCTGGACCAATCCCAGGGCAAAGAGGGACTCGGGTGTGCTGACTGATCTGCTCCCTCACCTGGAGCGTGTGTGTGTGTGTGGGGGGCGGGCACAGTCCCTGCCCTGCCTTGCCTCCTGGCAGGAAGGTTCAAAGACTTCAAACCTCCCAGATCCTGCACGCAGGGCTGGCAGGTGTGGGGGATGCAGACGGGGCGCTTGCCAATTTCTCTCTTCCTTCTCTTTAGGGATGCAATGGCTGAAAGATTGGCATCAAGGAGGAGGAGGAGGATTAGCCCTGGGGTACTTTGGCCCCGGTCAGCACAGCCCCAGCCCCAGCTTGTCTTCCTTGCGGACGGGATTGTTTCTGGGTGGACCATTTCCCAGCATTGCCTTGTCTCTTGCCCGGTCTTAGATGGACCCTTTCTGTGAATGACAGAAAGCTGCCCCTTCCTCCAGACCTGTGCACCAGGGCAGGGCTGGGAGAGCAGAGGGGGGCTGGCCTTCCAGCTGCCATCGCACACAGAGGCGCTGGGTAGAGCTATTTTTCCCTCTGCACCGAGAGCTTCTCCCCTCTGCGAGACGGAAGCAGGGCACACCTGGCAGAGCTCACTCCTGGGCACCTCGGGGGAGGCACCACCGCCCGCCGCTCCCTCTTGAGTCCCTGAGCAGTCCCAAGTCCTGAAGCCGTGGAAGAAAAGGAACCATCTCCCTGGTGTGTGGTCTCCCTCCCCCAGCCACATCTCGCATCTTAGGACGCCTAAAAGAATGTGGACACAGAGTCCAAAGCAAGGACGAGAGGGGTTTAGCTGGCCTCCAAGGACCGTAGAGGCTCTCCAGGTGGGGAGCTGCCTGCCTGGAGAGCCCATTCTTGGCTTTCTAGAGCTCAGAAAGGCAGGCTGCGCTCATCCAGGGCTTCGCTGATTAGGTGGCTCAAAAGCCCAGAGTGAGGAATAAACAAACATCTTCAGTGGGTCCTCGGTGCTTACTCTGCTTTAACAAAGCTCAACAGAGTTGATTAGTGGTTGAAAATGAGGGTAACGGAAAGAAAACCAAATGTCTGTACAGAGAGGCACAGAGTTTCTTTGTTAACAGCCTGGGCACGGGTTCTAGGCTGCCTGGGTTCAAATCCCAGCTCCCCACGGGCTACTCTGTGGCCTGGGGCAGGTTACCTGACGAGCCGGGTGTCAGCCGTCTCCCCCGTAACACAGAGTCGATGGGACGACTGAGAGTGAACGCCCTTCACACCCGGACCGGCTGTGGTGTGCGGGAAGGACTCCGTGTGTGGATCGTTTCACTGACCTGCTCAGCCCCTGGTGGAAATTCTGGGCATGCCACGGCCAAACCAGACCCATGGCCATCCCCTCCATGAACTCGTTCCAGACTTCTCCGGTGACTGACAGAGGTGGTCTCCTCTCCCACCCAGCTCCCGGCCCCGCTTTGATCCTGCCTGTGATCCAGAACTGACCACACTCGAGTTTGCGAGGTGTCCACGGGCTCGACTAGACCGCCTTACAACCTTCTTGGATGTGGAACTACACCTTATGTCTTGGCTCCTCCTCGAGGGATCGGCCAAGTCCCTTCACACAGCCCAGAAGTGTCTGTGGAACTGAATAAAATGTGGACGCACACGGGCCAGCTCAGTCACTTGTGTTCATTTAGGTCTGAGGATCATCTCATCGAAAGGTGCGGGCTAGATCTTCCCCCAGTGCCTCGGAGCCTGTGCCAGGCCTTCGAGATGTCACAGGAGCCAGAGTATTTGGTCAGCATCTCCATGCCGTGGGTGCTTACATGCAGTTTTCTGCCAAATTAGCATCGGTTTGCCTGGAATGTATGGGCAAATACTGAACAGCTGGACCGGAGGGCCCCGGACAGCGAAGAGGGCGCAGGGCAATTGATAAAGGGGCCTCCACTCGGGCATCCTGTGACAAGCTCTCCAAGTCCTTCGGCAAGCTGCTCATCACCACGGGCTCTGAATTGCGACGGCTGCAATACCGAGGTCTGGGAGGAAGCCGCAGCTCTCGGAACGCTGTCTGGCGCGGGACTGATGGGGCAAGGGTCAGAAGCCGGAACGGGTTTCGGCCTGCCCTTTCTAGGACCTGTTCTGCTGGCCCAGTGGGGCAGGGCGCTGTGGAAGGTCTCCCAAGTCAAGTCCACTCGTGCTTCTTCTCCCTGGGTAACAGTGGCTATTGCAACCACATCCCAGCAGGTAAAAAAAACGCCAGCTGTGGGGCCAGCAGGGGGTGGAGCTGTTATGTCGCTGGACTCCCACATGGCCGACTACGGTTCAGTTCTTGGACCTGCTGGCTTGAAACACGCTGGGCGGGCGTGTGTGTGTGTGTGTGTGTGTGTCTGTGTGCATGCCCAAGATCCTGGGAAGAGAAGGGATACTGGCATGGCCATACTCACTGGGAGGTGATTTTTCATTTTCCTTCTCTCTGCTTTTGTCTCTCTCCAGTGAGCACATGCACCCTAAAGCAAAACCTCTTAAAAAGAGAGAGAGGGAGGAGAGGGAGAGAGCTAGCTGTTTACAATCTATGCTGATAATATATGTCTTCCTGCAACAATCTTAATAATGACTCACCAGGGTATCAATCCAAATTTGAGATGGGAGAGCCCTGGAGAGGGACAAGATTTGGTGAGTGAGGAACTGGAAGACGGCTCTGCAATCCCTAGAAACATAGCTAAGAAGAGAAATGTTGGCTTTATGGAGTTGGTTTTTGCTATCAAGACTGAAAACCTAAAATAACTCAACAAGTTCCCTATTGGAATTGATGAACACCTCACGGCGTAAATCAGAGCGGCAAGGAGCCAGTATGCTGCGATCATCGGTATGTACGGCCTGACTGAGCCTGCACCTGAGACGGAGGAGGGGCTGCCGCCTGGGGCAGGCCTGTCCCTGAGGCTTCCGTCAGGGTCTGGAAAGATACTGGACCGCTGGGTAGGGCGGGAGGTTAATTCTAAGCACCCCGTCCACCTGAGCAGGTGGCCAAGCAGGACATAGCCCTCCCCCTCAGTTCTGACCGAACCGCCGTGGTCGACATTGGTGAGAGCCAAAACTCAGAGTGACGTCACCGGGGACCTGGTCAGAAATTCAGAGTCCCAGGGGGCTGGGCGGTGCGCAGTGGTGGAGGCCATCCCATGTGGGAGGGTTCCCCAGTTCAGGTCTGGAGACCTCCCTGAGGGTGCAGGCACACGCTCGCCCACGACCTAGGGCTGACGGAAGGCTGGGGTGTCTGTCAGGACCCGGTGGGAGGTGCTGCCTCCCTCCCTCTCTCTCTCATTCATGGAAGAAATAAACTTAAAAAAAAAAAAAAAAAAAAAAGAAAGAAATTCAGAGCCTCAGGACCCCTCCCCTAGACCTACCGGATGGGAACCTGTGAGTTAACAGGCCCCAGTGACTGCGCAGGCGCCGGAGAAGCACACCCTGAAGTTCACTTCTTACCAGCCCTGCCACCTTAGGAGTGTCCTTCTACCCGTCCACCCCAACTTTTCATATAAAAAATCTGAATAAAAAAACCATATATCGTAGGGGTGTTGTGGGGCTCCGGCGAGACGACGTTGGTCGAGAACCTCCCACTGCGAGGAAAGCGGTTGCTGCGCATGCGCCAAGCCCGGCTGCCTCCCGCACTTCACATGCACCACGCTCACTCCTGCCCCAAGAGTCTTCTTTTTAGTTTTACCTTAGGGTGTGTGTACTTGCCAGAGAGAGACAGAGAGAGAGAAAGTGAGAAATCACCGCCCAGAGAGGATGGCCAAGCCACAACCCCTTTCCTCCATTCTCCTCTTGGGATTTTGACCACACACACGCACACGCTATCGGTGTGGTTTTCCAGCTGCTGGGTCCAGGACTCGAGCAGTGCAGTTGGTCGTGTGGGATCCAGCCACCTTAGCCGCAATGCCACTGGCTGGCCCAACACTAAGGATTTCGCACAAGCTGTTCCCTGTGCCCTGTGAGACTTGTCCCACTCTTCCTCCATGCTGTCACTGTCACTGTTCTTGCTTTTCTTTTTGTTTAGGTTTTTGCCATAGGGTGTGTGCACTTGCCTGAGAGAGACAGAGGGAGACAGATGGAGGGAAATCGAGAAATCACCCCCCGGGGGGGTGGCCACACCACAATCCCTTCTCCACCATTCACCTCTTGGGATTTTGGCACATACACACATGTGCCTGGCATGATTTTTAAGTCACTGGGTCCGAGACTCAAACCGCGGTTGATCCTGTGGCAATTTAGCACCTTAACCACCATGCCACCTGCTGACCCTGACCTTCATTATTCTTCAGAACCCAGTTGCAACGTTTTTGGTGTAGAGGCTCTTCTCCCAGGTCCTTCTGCAACTGGCTCCTTCTGTCAGTGGCGTCTCAGCTCCAATGTCCTCTCTTCAGCAAGGCCTCTCTGCTTCCCCCAGCCCGGAGCTACGCCCTATTCGCTTTGCTCATATCCATGACCTCCCTCAGGAGTTACCTCACTCATTTTTCGTTTGTTGGAGGTCCCTTACAAAAACTCCATGAAGTTAAGAACCTGGTCTGACCTGTCTACACCTCTTCCAGCCACTAGAACGCTACCTGGCATTCCATGGACACTCGCTGAATGGTTTGAAGAAGGAACGTGGGCGCCTGCCAGTGTGGGGCAGGCACAGGCTCTGGCTCTGCAGCACCTTAAGGGCATCCGAGTGTGCTCTTCCATAAAAGCTGGGAGTGGATGGACGAGGGACAGAGGTCACACCCTGCTGGTTGTCTCGCTTTTCTTCCTTCAGCCCCTGCAGGACTCGCTGTGAGACAGCTGGTTGGCACTGAGTGGTTCTCTCGGTGTTTTCTTAAAGTCTGGCAGCTTCGACGTTAGTCAGCCGAGGCAGCAGAGCAGGGGTTCTCAGCCCTGGCTGCACTTCAGAATCACCAAGGTGCTTTAAGACATCGAGGCCCAGGTCTCACCCAGGCTGCTGGACTGTCTCGAGGCGGAGCTGGCAGTGGTAATTCTGAAATGTTTGTCCAGATGGCTCCCGTAGCCTGAGCACCGCTATGGTACCGTCAGATGCTTCTCTTCTGAGCTCGCCTGGTCGGACTCGCCAGGGCACTGATCAGAGCGACCGCCCATGGGCTCCCGGAACACAAACACACCAAGGGCAATTCTCGTCGGCCTGGAGACGCACTGCCCAACGGCCTGAGTGAGCTCAGGGGCTAGAGTCTAGCTTTGAAACGTAAGGTGACCTCAGGAAAGTTTCTCAAGCCTCTGAAACCACTTCTGTAAATAAAGTGGAGGAGACACGGTGCCCACCGCTGAGGGCTGCTGAGGGGCGGAGGAGGGAGGGCACACAGAGCGGGCACGGAGGGTGCCCAGAAGCTGTGACGGCATCCCACCCTCATGTACGGTGGGCGCTGGGGAGCTGTTTCCAGCAATGGACTGGCTCTTATGGCAAATGATTTGGATCCTGACTCCCTTTTAAATCAGGGTCTGTAGGGATATACAGATGGCATAATGGCTATGTTGCTGGACTCCCACATAATCAACTGCGGTTTGAGCCCTAGACCCGGTGGCTTAAAACTCACCCTGGGCACGTGTGTGTGTGTGCCCAAAATCTCTAGAGGAGAATGGAGGAGAAAGGATTTTGGTGTGGCCACCCGCCCACCCCTCTGGAGAGGAGTGATTTCTCACTTTCTGTCTTTCTTTGTCTCTCCGGTCAGTGCATGCACCCTATAGCAAAAATCTCTCTTAAAAAAAAAAAATCAGAGACTGCATCTCCTGTTTGCTTCTAAGCTGCCAGAACCTCTAATACTATATTCTAATATTCTGCACTGTGGGCTCCCTACCTACAGAATGAAGTGTATTTGTGTTGTTGTGTATTTCATGAGAGTGAGAGAGAGAGAAAGGGCATAAGACAAGCACCCAACAGCTCCTCACGTGGCAGTCCGCCCTGCAGCCTTCTCAGCCAGGACACGGGCAGGTATGCCTATGTATTCATGTCCATCTGGGAACAGAACTCACGAACTTCCATGTGGGTCTGGCACCACGTGAGGAAGGCATTTCTGCCTGCCCATCGAGCCAGCCCAGAGGGTGGGTTTTAACCCATCAGCAGTAGTGGTGCCAGATTCACTCCCACAGACCTCACCATCGAGTTCTTAACAATGAGCGGGGTCTGGGTGGTGGTGCAGGGGTAAGGCCCACCCACATGGGGAGGTTCCCAGTTCACGTCTGAAGACCTCCCTGAGTACACCGGGCACAGTGTGCCCGTGATCCGGGGCTGGCCGGAGCTGGGTGGATTGCAGCACTGAGACTCTGTTGCAGAAGCTGTCTGTGTCCGTCTGTCCCTCTCTCTACGTATCTCTCTCCCTCATGGAAGAAACCAACTTACTATAACAACGACAACAACAGAATAATGAGGGGATGGAGGAAGTGACCAACTGCAAGGGTCAGAGAAGCAAACCAGGTTGGCGTTGAGGACTCCTGTTTAGATCAGAGTCAACTTCATCATGCCACGGAGACAAGGCAGGCTTTTGATTACCAGCACACTGACACCAACTTGGAGAGAAACCTAGGCATCGAAAAACCAGGGCGAAGGAGTCTGACACAAAGGAGGGATGGAAAAATGGCACCACAAAGGTGTCTAGTACTCCCGCGACATTTTACAACACATGAGATTTAAGTGCCCCCATACATGGAGTCGTCACGGCTCCCTGGCTACTCCTGCATGGAGAACTGCTAAATAAGGACGCATCTGTCACTGAGCTCCGGAAAGAGCATCTCAGAAACCTTCTCGGCTAAGACAATTATTGAGGAACACATTTTCAACTCCATCCCGCAATACCAGACAAAAGAAACTGCAAAATCTCTTGATTCTTGACAAGGTGCAGAAAATCTTCAAGCAGCTAAAACAACAAGGCACTCAGGGCCAATGGAATTTCTGCTAAAATTTTCCAAATTAGGTGTAGAGAAACACATAATTGCTCTCCCTGTTCTCATCCTGAAGATCTGAAATGCTGAAAAAAATTCTTGGGTAACCCTATGGATGCTGTGATTATGATCATTAAAAGTTTTTTTCTGATTATTAAAAACAAAAGTATCTGTGCAAATTTTACAAACATGGTGGAAAATGTTAAAAAGCATAAAAAAGAAAATAGAAATGACCTCCCAACTGACCACCTAGATTTATTTTTAATACTTTGGTTTATTTCCTTCTAGTCTTTTTTCCACGCCTATTTAAATTTTTACAAAGTTCGGATCAGACCACATGGAGTTCTATAGTATGCTTTTTCCCTTAGTTATGGTACCTCATGAGAATCTCCTTCATATCCTGAAATATGCTCTGAACAGAATTTGAATAACCACATGGTATTTTATCATGTTGGTGCTCCATAATTTACTTAACTATTTTGTTATTACCGAATATTAAAGTTGCTTTCAGGTTTTTACTGTTACAAAAAGATGTAACAACAGGGGCCAGCATATAGAATAGCAGTTATGTCACTGGACTCCCTTACGGCCGACTGTGGTTCGAGGCCCAGACTGGGTGGCTTGAAACTTACATTGGGCAGGTGTGTGTGCCCAAGATCCCAGGAGGAGAATGGAGGAGAAGAGGTTGCAGCGTGGCCTTCCCCCCTGAGGGGTGATTTCTCGCTTTGCCTCTCACCCTCTGACTCTCTCTCCAGCGAGCATACGTGTCCTGAAGCAAAAACCTCTAAAAAAAAAAAAAAAAAAAGTGCC